CTCAGCCATCCCAGGGGCCAGTGCTGTGCTGTAGTGGCTAAAGCCACCATGTGCAGCGTTTGCATCCTATATGGGGCCGTTTGTGTCTTGGTTACTCCACTTGCGATCCAGCTCCCTGCTAAAGCACCTGGGGAAGCAGCAGACAATGGCCCTAGTGCTTAGGCCCCTGAACCCACATAAGAGACCCAGATGAGGCTTGTGGCTTTGGCCTGGCCCCGCTATGGATGCTATAGTCATCTAGAGAATGAACCAGCAAACTACAGACCTCTCTGTCTCCCTCAGTAACTCAAAATTTCAAATACATATAAAGAAATCTTACAACAAAGAAAAAAGATCATCTATTTCTTTGGCTGAGTGTTCAGCCGAGAGTTGAGGACACCTGTTAGAATGCCTCCTGCATCCCACATCAGATTATACAGGCTGTATACCCAGATCTGTCTTCTGCCTCTAGTTTCAGACCCTAGGGTGATATCTCAAGTAACTGCGTCCCTGCCAGTCAGGTAGGAGAGCTGGATAAGATTTGCATCTCCCAGCTCGTGTATTCAGCGCTATCCAAGCCCAGCCAAAGTGGGCATTTTTTTTTTCAAAGTGAGCCTTTAGGGATTGAATTGGTACTTAGGAGCTTTCTGTATCTAGCTGTCACTCTTCCTCTTGACAGAAAAGTACCAGACACATCCACTTAATCCCAAGTCGTGGGTGAGTTACCCAGCAGTGCCTTAAACTTAAGGAGACACACTTAAACCATCACCAGCATCAGCTGGCAGATATGTGAGTGGGGACAGGAATGAATGAATTACAGCTACAGCAGGAATGAATGATGCCTCAGTAGCAGGAGTCTGAGTGTAAAACCACCCTACCCATGTGCAGCCTTAGCCCAACCACTCTCGAACTGTGGCCTCAGGAAAATTCCTTAACATAAGCAGTTGTTTCATCAACTGTTAATACAGGGCTTAGGCACACACCTGCCTCAACATCATGTCTTGAGGATTAAATGCACTTATCCATGAAGGTGCTATTTGCATGCTCCAGGCAGGTTGTCTCTGTCAGACTTGAGCTGCAGGTATTGCAGAAGGATGACCTGGCAGGGGCCTTGCAGTGTGGAAGGGACAAGTTCTGGGCAACAGGTTGGATGTGCTGAGAGTCGGGCAAGAGAACAGGCAGTGATAGCTCCAGGTGTCAACCCTCTCACTAGCCCCTATCATATGTGTGCATCCCACCACACATAGGTGCGCACACATACATTCCCATAGGATGCATCTCACCATACACACACACACACACACACACACACACACACACACACACACATCTTTTTTCCCCGGCCATTCTTTCTCCCCATTATAGAACTGAAGGCAGGTAAGGCTAGGGAGAAAAGGATTTGGAATTTTTTCCTCAACAAGATACATGGGAAACACTGGGAGAATATCCACAGGAAGCCACATTTAAGACAACCACTTATAAGTTCAATATTTTGGTCTTGAATTCTAGAGCAGGCAGGGCTAAGGATGTGGTACCAAAAGTTAAGTTCCCTCAAGGCCATTGCTATGGCACAGCAAGCTAAACCATGCCCTGCAGTACCAGCCAGCATCCCATACAGGTGCCCATTCAAGCCCCAGCTGCTCCACTTCTCATCCAGCTCCCTGCTAATATGCTTGGGAAAAGTAGCAGAGAATGGCCCACGTGCTTGTGCCCCTGCATTCACCTGAGAGACTCAGAAGAGGCTCCTGGTCCAGCTCTGCCAATATAGACATTTGTGGGGGTGAACAAGTAGATAGAAGATCTCTCTATCTTTCTCTCTCACTGTCCATTTTAGATAATTAGAATTTTTTTTTAAATAAGGAGTTATCTCAGTTAACTAGGTAAAAATCCCAAGTGCAGAGGCTCAGCTTTACTAAGAGTCTGTGAGCACGATAAAACCCTACAAGTGGTAGAACTTAAACACAAGGAAGGCAACGAGTGGGGCCAGGGATTCAGGTGTGGTGCTGTAAAGGCAATCCACGGTTTCCATGGAGACAATGACCCCAGTGCCCAACACAACAGGGCTGAGAGAAGGACCAATTAAGGTTTCAGCAAGTAATTTAAAGGCACACAGGGTGTTCTCAACTCAAGTTGGCCAGCCAGGCACCTGCAGAGATGACCACACTACAGGCACATCAGGTGCACGGGAGAGAGGAGCCAGCAGAATGCTCAGTAACGAGGTGGGGGTATCTTAGAATGCACATAGAATGGTGGCAGTGGAGGACCACCAAGGTGAAGACGGAGTACCACCAGGGTGAAGACAGAGGCCCTGATGAACCCCCCCCCCCAGAGCCACAGCACAGAATGCATCAACTCTGGGAGTTAAGAGTTCCCTGTGACCAATACGATGGCTCAATTTGCTAATCCTCCACCTGCAAGTGCCAGGATCCCATATGGGCACCAGTTCCTGCCTCAGCTGCTCCACTTCCCATCCACAAGCTCCCTACTTGTGGTTTGGGAATGCATTAGAGGATGGCCCAAAGCTTTGGGACACTGCACCCACGTGGGAGACCTGAAAGAAGCTCCCAGTTTCAGGTTAGCTCAGTTTTGACTGTTGTGGCCACTTGGGGAGTGAACCAGTGGATGAAAGCTCTTTCTGTCTCTCCTTCTATCTGTAAATCTGCCTTTCCAATAAAAATGAATAAATCTTAAAAAAAGAAAAAAAACTAGCCTCCTGTGTACACCTGGCATTTTTGCCAAAGCACCTGTTCTACAGAAGTGAGCTCAAAATCTGGGAGACTGGATGGGGTTACTACTGGATCTGTGATAACAAAAGCCAGGTTAGACTAAAGTCAGAATGGTCTGCACCCACGTGCAACAGATAGGAGCCGAGGCCGGTGCTGTTGTGTCACAGGCAAGGCCATTACCTACAACGCCAGCATCCCATAAGGGTGATGGTTTGAGTCCCAGCCTGCTCTACTTCCAATTCAGCTCCCTTCCTTATACACCTGGGAAGCAGCAGAGCAAGAGGGCTCAGGTGCTCACACCCCTGGACCCATAGGAGAAACCTGGAAAAAGCTCCTGGCTCCTGCCTTGGGTCTCATCTGGCTGAATGTTCAGATCCCAGACTCTCTGAAGCAGCACTACAGGCTTTTAACTCACACACTTGTGACACAAGCAACAGGGTGCACAGGTAATAGAACTCTTCTCCCTACAAGGGCATTGGTTCTGATAGCTGCGGCATCATCTGCACTCCATTACAGAACTACACAGTCTTCCAGGGTCTGCACTTTGCACCTATATTCTGAACTCGCTCAGACTGCCACCTTCCCCAAGTCAAGGTGCTGCAAACTTTGACCTGCCTTGGATTACATTAATGGGAAAGGGATGCATGTAGGCTGCAGTCCAGCTGACCCCTGCACAAGTGAGCCCAGTGTCACCATTACATCCTCAGACACAAAAAGACCATGGTGAGCAATGCGATGGATGCAGCTGATGCTATTTCACTGTGTTTCCAAGCTGGAGGAGGGGGCCACAAACCAAGACCTACAGGCAACTTCTAGAAACTGGAGGCATTGTAGAGTGGACAGGAAGGAAAGAGGTTCTTTGTGGAGCCTTTAGGAAAGAACACAGCCCTGCTGACCACCCTTCACTTCGGGCCACTGAGACCCAAGAACTGTGACACCAGCTCCACCTTGATTTTACATAGCTATATTTGCTAGAACTCAATGCTACAGCTGCAATGGGCCCGCTCATCCCACAAGGGCAGAGGGCAGGGACAATGCCAGGGCAGAACCATTCTTCATACCTTCATACCTCTTACTCAGTATTCCCCATCCAGGTCAATGCCAGCGGGCAGCAGAATGAGAGAAGTTGTGCTGAGTGGTGCATGTGTATGCTGGACGGAGAGTGTGAAGCCTAGAAGCTTGTCAATGACACCTGCAGGATCACGACTTCATGTCTGCCTCCTCAGTTTCCCTTCAAGACCTCTGGATGGACCTTCCACATCTGGACAATCTCCAGAGAGGACCTCGAGCTCCAGAGAACAACAGCTATCATGGCACAGTGGGTGAGACTGCCACTTGTGCTGCCCACATCGCATACTCGAGAGCATGAGCTTCGCTGGGTTTCCAATCCAACTTCCTGCAAAGCACACACCCTGGGAAGCAGCAGGGGATGGCTCAAGTGCTTGGACCCCTGCCACTCACATGGGAGACACAGATGGTATTCCTGGCTCCTGGCTTCTACCTCGCCCAGGCCCAGCTGCTGGGTACATTTGGGAAGTCAGACTTTAGTTCCCAAATCATGCAAGACTTGGTGGTTCATTTCAGAAAAAAAACTGAGAATACCAAGTACTATACAACAGTCTACAGTTTTGAATAAGGGTAAGGGCAGTAATAGGTTTTTCATACAGTTGTGTACATTTTTTTCTTTTGGCTTATATGTTAGTTTTTTAGAAAGATTTATTTATTTTTATTAGAAAGGCAAATTTATAGAGAAAAGGAGAGATAGAGATCTTGATTTGCTGGTTCATTCCCCAAGTGGACACAACAGTCAGAGCTGAACTTATCCTAAGACAGGAGTCAGGAGCCCATGCTGGGTCTCCCACACAGGTGCAGGGGTCTGAGGACTTAGGCCATCACCCATCACTGCTTCCCAGGGTCTCCACTAGTGGAAAGTCAGAGCCGGGATACAGGCATCTCCATTAGCATTTTAACTCTACAGGCTAAATGCCTGTCACTCAACCTCATTTCCCATCTTTATATTCCATTTGTCAAGAACTTGAAGCACCCTTGTATTATCCTCTCACGCCACGATTTTCAAGATTCCCTGGGGCCTAAGATCCCCTCAACTCCAAGGTCAGAGTTCAACTAAGCTGTGTCCAGCCCTTGGCTGCAAACAACCATAACATCTTCTTCTCCACCAAACCAAAGACAAGTGCTCACACTAGGAGGGCGATCACGGGGCGCAGTAGGGACATGAACACCCAACTGCGACCCTGCCACCCACACCGAGAACACACCGCGGTAGGTAGCACTCACCCTGGCGTCTCCGTTCATGGCTTTGGGCGTGTGATTGAACGCGTGAGCGGGGTCTTTGTTGTACACCTTGAGGAGCGATCGGTCCTGAATATTCCTGGGGTCAAAAACATCCGTCACCATTGTGGTTGAAAAAGAGCAGCCCCTGGTCGTAGCCACATCCTCTGCCCGCCCCCACGCCGTGAACATCTTGTCTGGGGGGAGAAGGACGGAGCCCACCTTAAACAGGGGCCAGGGAAGGCAAGCAAAGCAAAACAAGACGGTGGCTTCCGTTCTGTTTCCGGGTCCTGTGTAGCTTGGACTCTCTAACCTGCAGCCAGAACTTTTTTCTCGCAGAATTTGGAGCCTGGAGAGAACTTAATGCTTTCAAAACCCAAGAACACTGCGAGGCAAACCATGCGTTCCCAGAGATTCGGTTAATAGTTAAGTATTATCCTGTTTACTTTGCCCTGACACCTGGCTTGCTGCTTATCTAACGAAAGCACACAGGCGCGCACCACACACACACACACACATCCCTCCCCTTTTGGGAGGTGGGGGCAGGGAAGGCTTTCAAACACTTCCGGCAAGAAAGAAAAAAAACCCCAGAATTAAAAAAAAAAAAAAAGATGCCACAGGAATCCAAACCAATACCTTTGACAATGCCCCTTTGTTTCCCTTCCGCAGCGGGTTTTTAAAGGAATACCTTTCTGCACAGGACTAGCGCCAGGTGCATTTTCTCCTTACCACACCCCGTACATGGTGGACACGCAAGAACCCCCGCATCTGTGAGGTCCTTCTCTCTCCACCTTGTCTGCCTGGGCCTTTTTAGGGGTCTATACGGTGATTCCTTCCGAGCTCAGGAAAGGTGTGCAGCGAGTGTGCATTCCTGTGCCCCTCAAGGTACAGCTCCGAGCTTCAGGGAACAGGCAATCACTGGGATTCCGGGGCTGTATCTTTTGTTGTTGTTTCCAGCTAAGTAGAGGATTCCTGGGCTCCTCTTGTTTCTTGCCTTAAAATGCCCGCCAGTCATTGCTTTGAAGCCGCAGCACGAGTCCTGACTCGCACAGGTCTGCTCCTCATCTTTTGCTTGGACGAGCACACACACACACAGCCCGTGTCCTGGGGCACCCTGGGTGAACAGCACGGGGAGAGGCCCAGAGGAGGCAGGGAGAGGGGTGTCCCCAGAGACTGGGAGGGACAGGGGTCCCTCATTCCCTCAGCCGGCGAATGGAAGGAGCCATGTAGGATGGCGAAAGGATGCTGAAAGCTGCGGCAAAGACAAAGCCCCAAGAACAGACTTCTTGTACTTCTGCAGGTGTTCAGATCCAGAAGGTTGGCTCATGATTAACGCAGACACGTGATCACCCGGCGGGACAACCTGCCAGTAGAGGCCCGGCTTCTCTCATGACCTGGTGCGCCCAGTTTGCGGGGAACTAAGCCGAAGCCCACATGATCTCTTTTGCACTCACTGTCTAGTGAAGATGCGCTCGCTGCAGAAATGCAGGAGGATTAAAATAAAACTTGGTCCAGTGAGTTAAGGCCGGTGGCTTCCGTTAAAACCCACACCAGGCTCTTGTGTTGTCAAAGGCTGCAGCTGGGGAATTCTTCCACCTTGTACCTAAACCGTAACTGATGTGTTGTGTTCCCACGAAAGTCCCAAGGCACCAAGCAAACCACACCTTGGCAAGGACACACATATGATGGATAGTTTGAGCAGAAACATCTGTAACACCATCAGCAACACCAGATTTTAAAACAAAAAAAAATTTTTTTTTTTTGTCTCACTTGGAACATTCCTTTATAGGTAAACCCAAGGAACATGGATTAACCAGCAGTTGCTTTGCATCTGAGGTGAAATTGCGATCCAGGGGAAAAAAAAAGAAAAAAATCCTGGAGCAAATCCTGAGTGGAAGCACCAAGAGGTAAGGTCACTTCACACACACACACACACACACACACACACACACACACACACACACACGGTACCTGGGCATTGCTGGTGCCCCCAGGCAGTGCCTCATTCCTCACTGCCTCCCTCTCTTACTGGTGGGGTTTCCTTGAATTTGGGGATACCAGCTCGTTCTTTCTCCTGGCTCCCCTGTTTCTCTCTCTTTGGGCTCACTGTGTCCAGAGAATGCAAATGGAGTCAAGGCAACAGCGCTAGAAAATAATGAGCCACTGTAGTATGCAAAGGCCTGGGGCCCGACTTCCTGACAAGCTCATTGCCTGGACATTCACGAGTGTGTGCCTGGCCTGGTTTCTGGTCTGCTTACTGTACCCAGTGGCACAGCAAGACAAGCCCCCACCTATAGAACTGGCATCCCATAGGGCCTCTGGTTCAAGTACCAGCTGCTCTGCTTCCAAACTCCCAAGTGCTTGGGTCATTGCTACACCGGTGTGGGAGACTGGAGGAAGCTCTTGTGGCCACTGGGGAGTGAATTAGTGGTTAGAAGCACTCTTTCTCTTTCTTCCCTCCTTCTTTCTCTGTAACTTTGCCTTTCAAGTAAATAAAATGTTTTTTTTTTTTAATGCACACCCATGTACAAAAACATAATGTAGGGTTATATTACTACAAACCCACTTTGCCCAGACAACATGATTCTGTTACGTTGAAGTTTCCACTTTGTGAATTCCCCAAATATAAAAGCTTTGGGTGGAAGCTTGAAGAATCATTTAGTTCACAGATTAAATATTCATGGGGCATCAGCTCCATGAATATTTCAGTCTGGGCTTAAAAAGCAGGGAGAGAGTACAGCAGGTGTGGTGCCCAGACCTTAGGGTGCAAGTCTGTTCCACAAGCCTAAATTACTCATGCAACTTGGTTTGCTCCCACATGTCACCTGTGATCACGATTAGATATCTCTCGGTTCACACTGATTATGCACCAGGGGCACAGGCTTACAAAATGCCACCCGTGAATCTCCTGATGAAGAACCAGGCACCCTGGAAGTCCCATGCCTTGCCTTTGTGATTGGGTGAAGGGATATTCCCTAAGCTGGTGCATGAGAACGGGCCCAGCCAGGTTTGGGGGCTGGGTTTGGCACCTCCTAGGCTGGGGTACAGCTGAGTTTCCCTTCCCTAAAAGGCAAAGGCTGCATGAGTCACCGGATCAGCCTTGGAGAGTGGAAATATTCAGAGATTGTTCTGGCAAGTGCTTGCTTGTGTGGATTTAAGTTCTGTTTCTCAAACTACAGGGGGTAAGGGGAGGCAGGTCAAACAGGTTCCTTCTGTCTGATGTAGCATGCCACCACAGTCAACAGGGAATGCTGTGGACCCCAAGGCACTGGCCAAAGCTGAGAGCCCCAATGGGGATGGGGGTGGTCACTGAGACATCCCACCTGGAGAACAAGATCCCTGCTTTTCTGCCTGTTAAGGGGGGGAGGATGACACAAGAGGTGCGTGACCTGGAAGTGTCCACAGGGTGTGTCCATAGCGCCAAGGGCCCTGCAGCCTTCCACTCCAAACGACCTTGGTCAATCTCTCACCTGCACTAACTCTTAGAATCAACCTTTGATTGGATCAGTTTTCACCAGATGGGCCATTCAAGAATTGACATGGGTGGAATCTGCCCATGTTCTCACAAACAACCCCCAAGAGAGGAAAAGTGCAGAGCTAGATATGAATTCTCACCTGCTGAAGCTCAGCCTAGCTGCTGATCAGGATAGCAGCCGTGCCTTCTACCCTCGGGGCTCATAGAAAATTCGATGTGCAACAGGGGTGCAAATGCTATACCCATCCTGAACCCTCAGGACCTGGAGCTCATGGGGCTGCTCACCTGACATCATTCAGCTCGTAATAAACATTGCGACTCTCATCTTTGATGTAAATGGCCACGCTGGGGGACTCCAACATCTTCATGGTGAGCTGCTGTGGAAAGGCACTTACGAAGAGGGCGCGGATTGTGTCCGCACTGGTGATCTCGTTCGGCATCCTGAGCTGCTTGGTTTCATCTCCGTACTGCAGATAGAGGACCCCTGCATGCAAGAGGAACACAGCCATCAGTCAGAGCATCCATGCCCTCAGCTCGCGGAACCAGGGTAGGGGTGGGGACAGGAGGTGCTGATGCACAGGTGCACAAGATGACTGATGAGGCCGAGTTCTGAGAAGGCCTCTTGACTAGAGCAACCTAAAGGGATCAAGTGAACAATGACAAGGGAGCCTGGAAGCCCAGGAAACTGGTACAAGCCATCGGATCTGAGGCTCACACTGGCATGCAGTGTTAAGCTGCCATCTGTGATTCCTGACATTTCACATGGAGTCCTGGCTGCTTCACTGCTGATCCAGCTCTCTGATAATGTGCCTGGGAAGCCAGCAGAAGATGGGTTGAGTGTGTGAGCCCAGGCCAAACAAGGGGGAAACCCAGCTGGAGTTCCTGGTGTCTAGCTTCAACCTGGTCCAGCCCTGGCCATTGCGATTATTTGGGGAAATGAACCAGTGGGTGGAAGGTTGGTCTCTCTCTCTCTCTCTCTCTCTTCACCTTTTCAGTAAATGGTCTTTAGAAAAATACAATTGGGGCTGCAACTGTGGCACAGCATGTAAAGCTGTCTTTTATAATGACGGCATCCGGTATGGGTCCCGGTTTGAATTCTAGCTGCTCCACTTCTGATCAAGCTCCCTCTATTCTGCCTGGGAAAGCAGCAGAAGATGGTCCAAGAGTTTGCACCCCTACCTGCACCCAGGGGGTCACCCATCAGTGTTGGCGGGTGCATAAAGTGAGGTTGGTGGATAGGGAGGACTTAGTGGTCATTTGCTGGCCTCTTCCAACTCACAGATTGCCCTTTAGTGCATCAGGATCTCTGAGAATGGGCTTGGCTGGGATTCAGTTTCCATGGGTTTTCTGGTTCATCAGGCAGTGATGTTCCTCCTGATCTAGTAAGAGTTCAGCATGAGGGCTTGCATGCACAAAGAGTGTCTCCCTGGAGGCCCATCTCCTCTGCAGAAACCTCTGGAAGGCACTAGGGCCACCTAGAAAATCAGCTGCTGGTCAACAGGTGCCAGCCCCTGCCAGGCGGGCTGCTTGTCCCAAGTTCAATGACTCTGCCAGCAGATCTGAGAAACAGGACAACCAGGAGGAAAAAGTGTTACTGCTGGGTATTCTCCTCCCAGGGGACTGCTGAGGCCACTGTCACCGTCGTCGGCCCTGCGACATGAGCGGGCACACCCAAGGACTGCAGGGAGCTAAAGGCCAGCTGTTCTCACACTGGGGGTTTCTGTACCTTCAGGTGCCACCCTGAGGTGCTGGAGCATGGATGGGCACTGGGAAAGGCAAAGGCTGACAGGCAGGGGTTGGGGGGAGAGTTACTGGGGTGAAGGTGAGGGGTAGAGCCTGGGAATGAGAGGGACAAAGGAACACATTGGGTACAGTAGTTGTGATGCTGCCTGGGGCATCTATGTCCCATAACAGATGGAAGATTGAAGATTCTCTCTCTCTTTCTCTCTCTCTCTGTGTGTGTGTGTGTGTGTGTGTTTGTGTGTGTGTGTGTATGTCTCTTCCTGCCTCTAACAAATAAAGAATATAGAAAAGCGATCTTACAAGAGCAGGTAGCTGTCCTGTGAGGTGGAATCCTGGTAACATATCATTGTGATCCAACTATACAAGTATGAAGAAGCATCCTGTTTCCTTTCACTCTGAAGTTATGACTTTTTAAGATTTATTTTATTTTACTTGTTGAGAGAGATCTAGAGAGGGAGAGGCCAAAGGAAAGGAAAGATAAGAGAGAGAGAGTGACAGAGAGAGAGAGAGAGAGATCTTGCATCTGCTGATTTACTCTCCAAATATCCACAACAATGAGGCTGGGCCAGGCCAAAGACAGGAGCCTGGAACTGCATCCATGTCTCTCGTATGAGTGACAGGGGTCCAGGCACTTGGGCTGTCATTTGCTGCTTTCCCAGGTGCATTGGCTGGGAGCTGGATCGGAGGCAGAGCAGCCAGGACTCGGACAGGCACTCATATGGGATGGTGGCACTGCTGTCCCAGTTGCCCTCGTGCTTTCCTGCAGAACTCCTGGCTGGCTCACTGAGTGGAAAAGTTCTTCCCATTGGACCTTCTCTTTGAGCAGCAGGACTGAACAGGTTGTACGTGTTCGAACGGAATAATTTTTTTTCCCCCAACAGTAAGAATAAAAGATTTCTAAATGGTACAATTCATTGCACTATGTATTGTGAGTCTACATGGAAATTATATAAAAGCCAGCATTTTGTGCTGAAAACTTCTCCAAAGATTTATTCATTCATCCATAATAATTGCTGGTGATTATCATGTAGACTGCGGTCTCCCTAATTTTACTTGTAAAGCAAAACTTAAGCTATATTTGCTGCATATTCATCATTACTACAGCATTTCTGACACCATTTTCTTTTTAAACGTTTTCTGTATTAATTATTCAGCACCTTTAAGAGAAGTACAGCAAGCAAGACTATCACTTTTTAAAGATTTATCTTTACTAGAAAGGCAGGTTTATGGAGAGAAAGAAAGACAATGATCTCTATCCACTGGTTCACTCCCTAAGTGGCCACAATGGCCAGAGCTAAGCCTACCCAAAGCCAGGAGCCAGGAGCTTCTTTTGGCTCTCCCACATGAAGGTAGGGTCGCAAGGCCTTGGGCCATCCAGGCCGCAGGCAGGGAAATGGATCAGAAATGGGGCAGCCGGGACTTGAACTGACATCCATCTGGGATGCCTGCATCGCAGACGATGGACTAGTTTGCTATTCCATCACACCGGGCCCAACCCTTTATGCTTTCTGTACGTATGTCATATCATTCTTGTAGAGGGAGGTTTGCTACATGAACTTCTATATTCAACCAGAATTCTTTCTGTCCTCTTAGGAGTCTTTCCTGACAGAGGTGGAGGTCTCTGACCTACCCTCCCACCTCACAAAAAAAGGTAGGACTGAAATGCAGTATCAGGATATTAGCTTGTTCCAGTGGCGCATATCTGAATAACAAATGACCCTGAGAAGAGGGACTTCAAACACCTCTACAACCAAGGGTGAGCATTTAGTCCAATAGCTAGCCCTGGCTAAGACATCAACAGGCCATGCCAGAGGATCTGGGTTAAACTCTCAGCTCCAGCTCTTAGCTTCAGCTTCCTGTCCATGGCGAAGCAGTACTGAGGGCTGGTGTCATTGCGTTCCTGTCTGCACCCACATGGGAGAGTTGGATTGAGCTCCTGGTACCTCCTAGGTTTGCCCCATCTAAGCCATTGGCTATTGCTGGCACTGGGGGAATGACCTACTGGGCAGGAGCTCTCTATCTGCTTCTCAAATGAATGAATAAATGTAACTGCAGTCATTTACTCGCTTTGATTCTGTAGTTCATGCATCTTGTTTCTCCACAGCCTCAGCTGGGGAATCCATTCCCACATGGTCAGCCATGGTTCTGGCTGAGGAGTGGGCACTTAGCTGGGCCGATCATTCAGGGTGGGGCTCCTGGCCACGCAGCTAAGGGTGTGCTTTTCAGAAACCAGGCTCTAGAAGGCTCTCCCCAGGCCACGTGGGCCATCAGAGGCAGCCCCATTATGTAGGGACTTGCCAGTCTTTGCCTTGCCTCATGCTTGCTGCTGTGCTGTTGCCAGACCAAGACACAAGCCCAGCCACCTGTGGAAGGAGACCACGTTGTGGAAGAAGAATCCCAGGTGTATTTGCAGCTTACTGGGATCACATATCCTTTGTTACCCCGAAAACCAGGTGATCCTGCACTGGGGTTTCTCTTTGCCTAACTGACTTGTTCTCTTTCTGAATCTACGAGTGCCAAGCTCTTCCCTGGTAGCTAGTTTCTTAGATATCATTCAATGACTGCCTTTTACCACAGAGAGATAGAAGGGTTTCTGAGCAAAATGCAAAGGCAGAAACTCTGAAGCTTGTCCCTGAATGTGGAGATTGTGTTCTGGGTTAGTGAAAGACATGGAAAATTGTTACTCTTTAGGGTCAAGTTTCTAAACATCCTTTCTCAAGGGAGGAAGGAATGTCTCTTGCTTTAGGCTATCACGGGGTTGGTTAATTTGTCTTAAAAAAAGGAAAATAGTTAAAATTAGTTCCTTTAGCACCTGCCAAGATTACAAGGAATACAAGAGAGTCCTTAAGAGAGGCAGGGACAGCATTCCTTTGACATTCCAAAAGCAGTTCTCTTGGTTTTAAGATTCATTGATTTATTTGAAAGAGCACCAGAGAGAGAGAGAGAGAGATCCATTGGCTCACTCCCCAAGTGACCACCGTAGCCAGAGCTGGGCCAGGAGCCAGGAGCCAGGAGCTCCACCCTAGTCTCTGGTACGGATGGTAGGGGCCTAAGCACTTAGGCCACCATACACTGCCTTCCACAGTGTGCATCCCCAAGAAGCTGGACTGGAAATAAAGGAGCTGGTATCTGATCCTGCACTTCAATAGGAGAGGTGGCTTTGTAAGTGGCAGCTTAGCCTGCCGGGCCACCATGCCAGCTCCTTGTTAAGGCTGTTGCCAGCTTGCCCTGACCGGAGCATCTTGGGTGCTGTTTCATATGGGTTTGACTCTTCAGCGGAGGCAGCTGAGGGTATGATTTATGGTATGCAGGTTACTCCCATGCACAGTGGAGAGTGTCTCAGACTCAGGGCAGACTCAAACTCAGGGGACTGACAGGATCCACGAACCTGGCAACAAGATGGGTCTCCCATAGAAAGTCTCAGCCAGGTTCCAGCCTGATGGAAAAACAAATTGTAGAGGGAACATGTGGACCAAAAACATTATTTTAAAAAAGATGTATTTGGGGCCAATACTGTCGCATAACAGATTAAGCCTCCACCTGTAGCACTGGCATTCTATGTGGATGCTATTTTGAGTTCCAGGTGCTCCACTTCTTATCAAGGGCATCAGCACGGAGCTGGATCAGAGGTTGAGCAGCTGGGATTCAAACTGGCACTCTGATGTGGGCTGCTGCTTTCAAGGGCTGCAGCTTAGCCAGCTGTGCCTGGCTCCCACTTGTGGGTTTTAGGTCATCCTGCTG